CGCGAGGCGGTTGAATTCTCCTTGTCTTTGATGTGCGCTACTGTATTCTAGCACGTTCTTGAGGCACGGCTGAAAAGCGCCCGGCGCGAGGCTAAGAGCATCGTCTTCGAGGGTACGGACAGTACTTCTTTTGGTTTACTTGTCTGGGCATGGTGGTCGAGCCCACTCCTTACTTAGTCAACTGTCAACATAAAGGGGGGGGGGGGGGGGGGGGGTTGAGGCCATCTATGGAGTGCTGACGGAGAGAGAGAGTACGTAAAAATGGTGTGATCCTCTATTGTTTTGTGAGACCGATGGCCACAGCAGCCACAGCTTCTTTCGCTCTCTATTCGCTCCCCTCCCCAGGCCTCCACGAATATTTGTATGTGAGTGAGAACCGATGAACGATCGATAACCCGTAACCGCCACTTTTTCTCTGACTGGTCATGGGGCGCACATTGTCATCAGCAAGAACAACAAACTCTAATCTACGGAAATACATCAAGGTGCGCTGGGACACCTGCATTCTGCATGGATATACATTGTAACGTTACAAACAAGTTTTTCTTTTCTTGTGAATAATAGGCGAAACACCCGAGTCGAAAGAATCTCGTAGCGGAGGTAGTCGCTGCTATTGAGCATGCGCACCGCTAGCTTTGTTTATACAATTCCAGGGATCATTTCCGGAGGCCTTAAGCAAGCAAGATGGCGGGTGTGGTTGCAGCTTTCGGTGCCTTGTTACCTTAAAAATGAACGGAGTGCACCTACACTCTTTCTCTTAAAGACAATATTTTATTTTTACAAGAACTACCATAATACGGGCGTATGAGAAATGAACAGTATAGTGGTTGCAGAACATTTTTGGAAAATATATAAATTGTTTCTATTGTTTTCTGGATGAGCGTACGGAAAAAGTAGGGTGAAAGTAGTTTGTAACGTAACGAGTAAAGTAATCCGTTACTTTTCAACAAAGTAATTCGTAACGGGAATCCATTACAGTTGAAGCTTGGTTGTTTGTAACTGTAATTAATTGCATTTAACGTAACGTAACGAGCACATGTCTGGCGCTATCCCCCTTGGCCACAACAACAAAAGAGTATAAAGCTGCACAGGGCTCCAGCGGTACTGAAGTCATGGGGATGGTTAAACGTTTATTGAACGATGGAATGCTGGGTGGCGACTATTTAGTATGGCCCAGGGGTGACGGTGGTGAGATATGATTGATAAAGTGTTATAAAATGTGACTGCGGCCCGTAAGCCTGGTTCGCACAGCCCCGATTCCTTACGTTACGTAAGCTAACTTACAAGCCACCAGGATATATGTGCTTCATATCAAGCGTGGCTACCAATTCGAGGAGGTACACCTGGCACACGACATTCGGTGACTTAGAGGTAGCGTAAGAAGACGGTGCTGTGTGAAAAGTTGAACGGAGCTCAACTCCTTACGTTACGTTACGACAAGCCTTGTGTCCTTGGTTGCCACGGTAACTCAACGTCCTAGCTCGTCGTCACCGAAACATTCGTGTTTAGAATGTAGCGTGCCAGGTTATCTCCTTGAATTAATAGCCACGCTTAATACGAAGCACAGATTTCCCGGTGACTTGGACATAAGCTTTCGTCACGTAACGTAAGAAAACTTGCCCGTGTGAACCAGCTTACTCTCCGCATAGGAGACCATGCACGCTTCTCGGTACCCTAAAGGCCTGTTCACACATGCAGCGGAGCGCTACAAGCATAGCGCTGACCTCGCGCTAAGCGCGTGCTTACGGCAGCGTTCACCAGCTTTGTATCGCACTGTCAAAACTGTTGCTCATGGCAAATTATAAGTAGCAGATGACACGTGAGTAGCGCTTCATCAGCGCTTCGCTGCATGTGAGAACCGACCTTAAGACGGACGCTGAAGGTGCTAGCATCGCCTCCTGGCTGGCTGGCACATGGGTGCACGCTTGGGGAGTTTGGAAAAGCTTTCTTGGAGCAAGTGCTCCCGCGAAGAACGCATCGGGCACGGCTACGCTCTCTCACCTGTAGCTTCGATAGCACACAGCTTGTGAGATGGAGATACGGAATTGTCCATGCTCGGTATCAAAAGTTGTTTGTAGTGATATCCAACGCACGTGCGCAAGCGTTTAATTGTAAGATTACCTCGCGTTGGTTTCGTGCAACTTTCGAAAGCACTTCAAAAGTTACTGTTGAAATCGTATACCTTTCCCGTCTAGGACAGTTGTATGCCAGCTTTCCAAAAACAACCAGGAAATCACAAACTTGAGATACGAGATTAATAGTCACAGGACATACCGACAATTTTAGGGGGGAAAAGAGAGCACATTTTTTTAAGTGTAACAATTTTTTTCTATTGTTTTCTTGACAAGTGCACGAAAAAAGTAACGTGAAAGTAATTTGTAACGTAACGAGTAAAGTAATCCGTTACTTTTCAGCGAGCCTAATTTGTAACTGTAATCCATTCCAATTGAGGCTCGGTAATTTGTAGTTGTAATCCATTACATGTTTCAAGTAACGAGCGCAGGCCTGCTTCAGAACTACACTTTCGAAGCAATTAAGATCTGAAAGTACTGAAATGGCGATTCCTATGGAAACGAAGACCGATCAGCCAATCGTCTAGCAATGTTTTGGCCGTCTGCATGTTAGTATATGTTTGTGTCCTGCTAGCAGGCAGGAAAGGCAATGGCGCTACTATCCCAGGATCCAGAGACTTCAGTTTAACCTATGTCCTCCTTTTTGAGAGAGTCCTCTAAACGCTCTGTGACAGGAGTATTAGTCAAAATAGCCAAGTGGATGTCCCTACACCCCTCCTACGGGGGTGTGAACCCTCCCTTGTTTTTCCGAAGACACCCCCTTAATTCACACTGACTCCTCTATTCTCAATGCCCCCCCCCCCCCCCCACTCCTAAAAATTTAGACCCCCCTCCCCCCCCGCCCCCTCTAATTTCGATTCCTGGGCAGTGTTGTACGGAACGGCGTTCCAAGGAACGGCGTTCCTGGAACGCGTTCCTTTTAGGAGGAACAAAGGAACGCCGTCGTTCCATTTTGCATCGCTGGAACTGGAACGGGAACGCGTTACATTTTTACTGGAACGGAAAGAGTAACGGCGTTCCTTTTTTTCGTCCAGTGGGGTGATTTTTAATTTATTTCTAGCAGGGAAAATATGAAAGTACAAAAACAATGCCTTTACAAGGTGCAGGATCTCTTTAACTTTTTGGCTACTAATCTTATGGATTATTTAGTGTGGTCCTCGCTTGCTAAGAGTTTCGGGTGCAGGAGAGCTGGTGGGTATTGATACTTTTTTGAGTGCCTGAAACTGCGGTACAAAAAGCAAAACTTTTAGTCGTAGGAAAAGACAAAGAAAGAGGGTTGTTTCAAACTCAGCTACTTTCTTTGGTTCACATGAATCCTCATACACCCAGAAATCTTATTCCGACTACAGCCATTTTTGAACTTCAATACCGAGACCTCCAATTACAACAAGATCATAGATTGCTATATATCGGACTCACCCTTGTATCCCGAACATTATTTACTTAAAAGATGCACACAAAAAAAACAACCTTTTTTCCTTCTCTTGTCCTCCACCTTCAAACTGAACTACATATCCAACCTTCACAACGAAGTATTTATAGCTTTCAAGACTGACTTTCCAAAAGCCCTACCCTCTCCTTCACTTGCTCGTCTTACGGACAGCAACATCGAGAAGTAACTGTTGTTAACTTCTAACACGGGACTCTGTTCAATTGAAACGTGTGAGGCTGTTGTAAAACGCTCGTGCAATCTCGGTAAAAGTACATTCGGCTCGTCTGTATTGTGCACTACAAACATGGACATGGTTAATAGCTGAGATTTTTAACATGAATATATCAACAAATGAAACCCTGCTTCCGCGTGTTTTCTTCTCCTGGTGCCCTTCCATCACGACATACGAACTCGTATGCTGACTATTAATGGGATAAATAAAAAAATAAAACTCTGCTTGATTTAACTAAATATAGTAATTAGCGAAAAATACAAATGTAACGTATATGTAACGATAGGTTCCATTTTTTAAAGTGTAACGGGAACGAGTTCCTTTTTCACATATGGAACTTGTAACGGGAACGCGTTCCAAAAATCGGAAGGAACGAGGAACGAGTTTTCGTTCCTTTTTTTGAGGAACGTGTACAACACTGTTCCTGGGGAAAACCTTGGAATAACCTCTGATATGTGACTAATAAGAAAATATTCTTTGGGCCTTAGATACACAATAACCAAGATGGACGATTCAAATACTGCATTGAAATACTTTGCATGTAATTGAAAGTGATTAGAAAGTGATGCATCAGCTCGTGTGCCCCACCACGAACAGCATGATATCGAGGGTGTGTAACGTGAAGATTTTTTTTGTGCCACTGGTAAAGCGAACAGACTGGTAGGGCCAAATCACTCCGAGGCTACGAGCTTCTTACCAACCCACGCATATACCCCCCCCCCTCCCCCCCCCCCCCCCCAAGCAAACCTCCGAACTGAAAATAATAATAATAATAATAATTCTATGCTTGGTAACTGCGATCGATCGAAAGAGAGGACCGTCACTTTTCAGAACTGTGATTTTACGTACCGCCATTGATTGGTACGCCCCGAACGTCGCGGCCCATGACGCGATTGAATATAAGAAAGCTTGACGTGAGCTCGCATTAAAAAAAAAAAAAATGTCTTTGTACCTGTACACTTCCCCGTTTTCATATTTATTGGTTTGTTTACTTTTTCCACGCTATTCTGTTTTCGTTGCTGTTTATTCCGAAGAGGTCCTTACTGTATTTAAACAAAATTAATAAATCCGTGCATTCTGCAAGCGAATTTTGGCAGGAATCAAAGTGGCTAGCGCGCGGACTCCAAATCCACATAAATATGACGTACGCTTGATTTTTGTTTTGTTTTTATCATAAAATGGCAAATTTCAGATCAATCAGCCGATCGGTTGCTCCCGTACAATGCAGTCGGCTCGTTAAAACAAACTTTATTGAGTACACACTTCACTTCCTTCCAAAGGCAACAGTCAGAAGCGCGAGCACCATGGAAAACAATGTACACGTGGAGTAGCTCAGCTGCGAGCCACTCCTGCAAATACCGAGTCCGAGAACGCGCTCCTGTTCCTGCATGATCCCTCGCAGTGTCGGCAGCCGATCACCACATCCGGTTGCTTGCATTGCGAACGTCAAGCAGGCATTGTAGCTTCTCACGTCACTGTATGGTGAAGGAGAGAAAAAAAAAACAGGTAGGTTCATCGGTTGTAGAGCGGGATGGAGAATAACATGCTTAACCATATGACAACTTCGAATCATCGATGGTGGATGAATTTTCGACTCGTTTTGGTGTATAACGAAAGCTTAAAATAAATTAAATGAAGTACGCATGTTTCTTACAAATAAAGCACATTTGACTCGCCCCGAAGAAAAAATGTGGTTTTGTGTTGACAACCTCGGGAGTTTTAATTTGCAGCAAGGATACGAGTTACACAAAAACGAGCAAAACTGAGGCTGCATAACAGACTCTAAAAAATATTGCGAGGCCCCTAAGACGGCCATTTTGACCCTGTCTGAATGCGCAGTTTTTCGTTTGTCTATTTTTTTATTTAAATTGAGGCACTTACGAATCTGCTGATTGGTCTCTAATATGATGCCCGTTGTGAGACAAAGCAAAACGTTTTTGTTGTCGCTAAAATATTAGTGCACAAGCTAACGAAGAAGTTCACACGTGAAATTCGCTCGCCCTGTTCTTTTTTCTTTAATATTTACGTCAAGGCACATTAATGCTGTTTCCAAAAATACTTAACCTCATGGCTCATGGAAATTCAGTTTGTAGTTTTTGTGATTGGAATTTTTTCTGTCTTCGAGAGTTATTACAATCATTGTACAAAAAAATGATCCATTTAAAAAAAAGTTTCTTTTCTTCTTTTTTTTTTCTTTTAGAAAGAGGGTTAAATATGCAGGCGACAATATTTCCGTTAATTCCTGCGAAAGTACTTATTTCTTGCGTTGAACTCAAACAGTGGTGCATTTGCGCTACGAAATGATCCTTCCGTAGTGCATATGCACCATGCACTGGTGTTACTAGTGGACGCACGTGGTCAAGACGTTTACTAGACAGAATTGAAAACATTTTCGTTTGCATGTTACAACTCGTTTTAGAGTGGTTATTTCAAATGTGTTATAAAAATAGGGTGTTTTCCAACAAAACGTTTTCGCATAAACAAACACTGATAATCAAGATGCAATGTTTCATAAAGACACACACGGGGAAACGAATCACACTCTGTATTTTTCTTATTTTTTTATTCTAAAGGTTTTCCAAAGGGCAATTCTCTTAGTGACCAAGCGACAGATCTGGAAGGAGCCTCGTGAAAATTAATAAAAGCAAAGACTGGACGTTCAAAAAAAAATAAATACGGCTGCCGTGATGCTTCCATTTTCATTGTTGTGGATCCAGTCAGGCAAGCGATGCGGCGAGAAAGTGAGGGGGAGAAGGAGACGAGAGCTATGCTGTATGCTGTATGAGGGGGAGGGAAGAGGGGAGGTACCAGCAAAATGGCAGATTTTGGGGGGGGGGGGGAGGGAAAACCGGGCCCCATGCCCCCCCCCCCCCCCCCCCCCCCCCCCCACGGCTACGTGCCTGGCTTGAGGCCTTCGCTTCTATCGGCCTACAATGAGAGGGCGATATAGTCAGACTATAGGTCTAATCTGACTGAGCGGGAACAAATATCAACGCAAGTCTGGCGGCCATAGCTGGGGTGGTGGCTGCTGAGCTCGAGCTGACGGTGAGTTTTCACAGTGCTTTTGCATCGTGCAGTCCAAACACTTTAAAGAAATCTGGAGCGTCTGCTCTCTTACAAATCACTTGGAAGAGCTAATCGCGGTAGTCTACGCTAAACCACGGTGCGCTAAACGCATGACGAGGCTCGGAAAAAAAAAGAAAAAAAGGACAGTGTACGCTGTGACACTGAATATGACGTTTCCGTGCTTACGTCATGTTTAGTGTCACAAAGCAGACAATTGTTTTTTATGTCTAATGGTATTTTTAGCCTCTTCATTCGCCGAGCACCCTCCGTAGATCGCCGCGATCGGCTCTCCCAGGTGCTTTGTGGAAAAGGAGACGAACCCGATTTCTCAGTGTCTATACTACCTGCAAGTGTGCCGGTCTTAGCAGCCTATATAAGTGTGAGGAGCTCCTTTTGAGCATGCGCTGTGAACAGCGCACTCTAATATGATGTCCGTAGGTAGCATATAGAGGAACTCTAGTCTATAGTAGAGCACTGCACGGGCCCGGGCCAGCCCGAAGGCCTGAGCCCGGCCCGGCCCGCGGGCCGGGCTCGGGCCGGATAGCACGCATTTTCTCGGGCCCGGGCCGGGCTCGGGCTTGAAAAAAAACAATATTCGGGCCGCGCCGGCCCGGGCCGGCCCGTGCCTTGACTGGGCCATGGCTGGGCAGTCGCGTGCCGTAAATTCTAAAGTGGTGATAACAAGTGTGCTCATTGATCTTTTAGGTGGAATGAAAACAAACAAGCGAAATGCAAGATCACTAGGACGCCGCTCAAAACACACACACACACACACACAAAAAAAAAAGAAAGACATCTTGCATTCGAAATGTGTTTACGTTGATAAAAGGAAACGTATGGATTTCATTAGCATAGTGGGAAAGTGCGATCAAGAAAATGAGGGCACTACAGTCGCAGGGTACAACATGGTGTCTTTTTCTTCTGCCTTTCAATCGAATAAAAATCAACGTCAGCTTGACTTTGCACTATGTGCCGGGGGCCTTACTATGCAACCAAAGATAAGTTAGCTACCATAGATAATTTTATGTTTATACAGCCTTTTGAAGATGCACTAGCGTGATCCTATGATTGTTTCTTTACAAATAATCTAGAGAGGAAATTTCTCAGTGGAAACGAATTGAACAACAAAGAGTACAATATCTCTTCAAGAAATGCATAAATAAAATATTCCCCACTTTTGTTATGCTCAAACTCACTTATGAAATACATGTTTTGCCCATATTCTCAAAAACAAGTTAAAATATTTGTCGTGCAAAAAAAAAGGAAAACTCGGTCCAAGTTTAAAAGAAATTGAAACCAAATGTGATCGCTTTATGCTTAGACAGTTTTTACGTTAAAACCTGAAAACTTGTTCGGGCTCATGTATATAATCTGTCGAGCTCGGGCCGGGCTCAGGCTTATATATAAAAAAATTTGTCGGGCTCGGGCCGGGCTCGGGCCGGGCTCGGGCTTCTGTCTAAACATTCTGTCAGGCTCGGGCCGGGCCCGGGCAGTCTCTTTACCGGGCCGGGGCGGGCCAGGCCTAAAAATAAATATTCTGTCGGGCTCGGGCGGGGCCCGGGCCGTGCCTTTAGTAGGCCGGGTCGGGCTGGGCCTAGAAATTCCGGCCCGTGCAGTGCTCTAGTCTATAGAACACACAGTTTTAAAAACGAAAATCTAGATGGCGCTTCAAACGACGGGAGGCGGACTGAAAGGTGTGATGGGTTTACCACTCTCCGAAGGAGCTCCACAGCTGGGGTAATCTAGTAACGTTGGTACAAACGCATCGTCCGACGTCTCGGAAGGGATGGAGCATGGGTCAGCGCCCTTGTAAGATTCAAAACAAAAACTTCGCCCAAGGCCCAGTGCTTCGAAACGCGTTGAACGCTAAGCATGCCTGTGTGTGCGTGTATGTTTCCTTTTTGTGTTTTCTTTTTTTTTTTTCTCGAGCGAAGGCTGAAATATTTATGTTTTAAAAAACCTTTGTGTCTCGGGCGCTATGCACGGCAGTGTGAGAGGAGCGTGTTCAATTACCTGCAGATAGTATTTGCGTAAACCTCCTTGCTGAAGGGTGCACTTTCTTTGGTCAGTGTTTTTGGCCACAAAGCGATCAGCTTCGTAAGCGTTACGTTGCATTTGTTGACCTCTCCCTGAAGATCCGCACCGTTACAGGACGGGCCCTTTTCTGAAACAAGATATAATGCCAGGTTCATTGATTAAATTTCATCCGCCGACAACGCGAAGCGCCTTGTCCTACAAGAGGGAACTACACAAGTCTGTTTGCCGAAGTATCAAATACATCTTGGCAGCCACTCGTTCTACAGTTGGGCGTATAAATGAACGCTAATTAACTTGCGTTTTCAGCAAAATTCACGAGAATCGGTTAAAGAAAAGGCCAAGTGATTCCGGAATAAAAAAAAAATAGCTGACATACTTTTTAATCTTAAATATAAAATTGCGGACCCAATTTGTCTTCTCATTGTGTAAGCTGCTGAAAATCGGTATAAAACTTATTTATCCGAAAAATTTAAAATTATCAACACTTCGCCGGCTATAATCAGTGGAAGTAATAACACAATCAATAAATCAGTACGTTTGGTTAAGGACTGGGTCGCTCGGCTTACACAATTTAAACTCATGTCGTCAAGAATAGGAAGATGGGAGTCGAACATTTAGGCTGACAGAGTGCGTTCCCTTCAGAAAAAAATATGATGCTTTGAGGGACATCCTTTAAAAGCCACACCAACGACACACAAATGTTTTCACGTGGCTTATTTTTTTTTTAATTGCGGTACCTGTCACGTGTGCATATTGCAGAAACGTTTTCTTAGTTTAGTATTTAACTGCCCCTTCTCGGAACGGCCCACAATTCTGCTTAAACGTTTAGGTTTCATTTTTTCATTCTTGCTCTTATCCTGAAAGACAAAATCGCCCTTTTTCTTTTAACTTGTCCTACTGCCCTGTTTACTAACATGAAATAAGCAACATAAACGAAACCAAAAATCGAAGAATAAAAGCAATTTGCGACCCCTTTCGTGCCTTGGCAGCTTCTCGACTATTGAGCCGTTGCGTGGCAACTAAGCGTCACTACATCAGGAACCTCCATATACTCACGGAAAGCCGCTTTGGCTCTAGGAGCCGCGGATGCCGAAGTAGCCGCGGAGACGTTTCCTCCGAGTAAGCGCTCCACGTTGAGCTCCGGCCTGTGCCTGATATGCTGGAACATGGCCATGTTATCCGGGAGTGCCGAGAGCACCGACTCTTCATCGGGTTCGTTATCAAAAAAGTACTCATCCTCGTAGGCCAACTTGCGCCGCTTTTCCCGCTTGGCGCGCCTCGCCTCCCTGTCTGTGCGACCGGCACCTTGAGGTTTTCCGACAAGCTTGTTCACGTCTGCTCGGCCCAACGCATCTTTGCTCCTGAGCTTTCGGTGACGGCGCCGCTGCTTCCGACCCGCCCTCGGGCGCATGTCTGGTTCCAGATCCGCGAAGTCCTCGTAGTCTTCCAGCTCCCTTTGGTTTCTGCGGCTCATGTCGCGGTACTGGTAGTTATCGGGCTTCAGGATGTCGTAGCTGTCGTCTTCGCGAAACCCGTCGGGCTCTTCGACCAACTTTCCACTCGGACTCGCGAACATGGGCTTCTGCCTCTTGGAAATCAGCTCATAGTCTTCGTCGTCATCGTAGGAGCCAATGTGGGTCGCGACCTGTTTGGACATGTGGGTATTCTTGCCCAGGTAACGCCTCAGAGCGCTTGATTTGAGTCTCTTCATTGCATTCCTGTTTCGTACGAGTTGACCCTTCTCTCTGGATCTGGCCGATACCGGTTCGCCAACCGAGTGAGAACTCGGTGCGTCGCACCGAACTTTGTACTGGTCTTCAAGGACTTTCCTGTACAGCTTCAACTGAGCGCGGATAGAAAGATCTGCAAGACACTTCGTGCCGTCCACCGAAGTTTTGAGACAGTTATGAAGTCGCACGGCGTGCCTTAGAGAAAGAATAAATGAATTTAATAAAAATATATTTGCATATATTGGTCACTATACTCAGATATACTATAAAAACTCTAGGACTAAGAGCCTAAGAGCTCCTTTCATTCGACTTAGCTAATAAATAACTTAACCGAAACATTTCAATGACTACTCACATCAGTCTTCTTTTTTTTTCTTTTTGTGCTTCCGATTAAATATAGTGGCAGCTGCGACTTAGTGTTTGGGGTTTACAGACGTTATGACCTGTCAGTTGACTGCCTCCTTGAAAGAAATTCAGCCGGCTTTGTAAGTACTATATGGTACCAAAGTGAGCCATCATTTTTTTTTTATTTTGAGTGAAAACACTGTACTCTCGTGTAATACATAATTTATTTTTATTCAAAAATGTTTTTCATAAGAGAGAGCCAGTACCAACATAAAACTGGAAATCAATAAAACACATCCTGATGTCGATCAGACGGCGGTAACACTGAATAGCACTGCCAAAGTAATCATTGCTAAATTGCTTTTCAGCGCATTAGAGTCGCAGCTGCCCTTCGCCATAAGACTCACTTTAATCAATCAATCAATCAAGTTGCTTCTTCATCAATTTCTAATCTGATATATGCAGCGTACTCAGAAACGTCCCAGCAATTTATCTTGCTTAAATCTAAGTCTAAAATCCGTCAGGCTGTTCTTCACAAAGACACCTGTGCCAATAATAAAGTCACTGAAGTCCATTTCATTCGTTTTGTTATTACGAAAAGGATGACGGAGGCTGAATATTTTTAATCAGTATTTAAAAGAATGTTTTGTGTTTAAAAGGTGCTTTCAACTAAAAAAGTGCAAACACAAACACATTTTGCATCATTCTCTTCTTAATCGCCCACCGAATGGTTTTGCATCAATCACTGGAGTATCGTAGAATGGGAAGATTATATTAATAGAACTACTAGAAATTATACAGACGGATAAGAAAAATAGTCTGCCTAGTGATTCGGCAATCCACAGTCTTGAGTAAGTTACTTTTAAAAAGTTATTCGTTACAGTTAGAGTTACTTTCAGAAAAAAGTAGCGAAGTTACCGTTACAGTTATGGCAACAAAAGAGTAACTCGTTACAGTTACAGTTACTTTTAAAAAGTAACGACGTTACTTTTCAGTTACTTTTCTATAACCATAAAAAAATTGGAAAAAACTAGAAAACGACCCTCCACAACGTTTTATTGCATAAAATTAAAAAGTACGCTTTTTATTTCATACTGTAACTTAGCAGCAGTTGCTTCTCGAAGTTAGTGTTTGAAAGTTTCCACGCCAGCGTAGTGGCGCAAATCAAAATACGTAACATGCGCAGTGCGGAGTAGTGGCGCTAATCAAAATACAAGACATGCGCAGTGCCCTCCACGTGTATTATTGTTTCCTGGTTGATTCACCCGATTAAGACGCGCTTGCACAGACAAAAGAAAAAACACAACATAGATAGCGCTTCAAGACACTAAGATGTAAGTGTTTAGTCACAAAGTATTAGCGCGTGCGTAAAGATAACTAGATATTTTTTTCATAAAGTCTACAGGAGGGTATATTCGGGTCGTGACTCGCGAGAAAGAACGTATTCACAACTTTGTACAAGGCCAACTTGACACTCGAAATGTCGAAATAGACGATTTGGAAAGTGCAAGGAATGACTAAATTGCACCCCTTCGTTCAGTGATATATTATTAATAAAACATTGGAAAGTAACTACAAAAGTAACGTCCTTACTTTCATCGTTACCTCAAAAAAGTAATAGAACTACAGTTACTAGTTATATTTTAAAAAGTAACTCGTTACAGTTACAAGTTACCAAAAAAGTAACGAAAATACAGTAACGCGTTACTAGTAACGCGTTACTACCCAAGACTGGCAATCCATTGTTATTATTTGTTTTCTTGTACTATCCTTGGTTAAAGCGCTGAATATACTGACTTATCCATGTACCGCCATCGTTTCATCGTGCCGCGGGTCCTCCTATTGGATGCAGGCGATGCTTCGCCAGTTTTGACTCATGGCGCATTAGTCTGCTGTGGCTGCTGGTGACGCGCTGCCGTTTGCGAGCACGCACCTATTGGACTATACTGTAGATGCTAACTCCGCGCCGCTGCGACGACCTAGATTGGCGTCGACACTTCGCCATTTTTGGCCCAAGTGCGCCCCAGCATGCACCACCATGGCGGTACTTGTTTATAAAATCCAAATTCATCCAGCGCTTTATCCTTGGCGATCGGGAGGCGCCATATGTTAAGGGCTGAAGAACCCTCCTGCAATAATGTTGGCTTCTAATATCCCTGTGGCACTGCCACAGACACGGAAGCGATGGTTATGAAACCAAAGTTCGCAACCAAAGACTAGCGAAGGATGTAATAAAAGGCATTGTACACGTAGTAAAAAGAGTTTTCGTGTCATTTTAGACGTACCCGCATAGCATGGTCCCGTTAATGCCTTCTTCAGCGATATTTTGGAACTGAAGTGCGCACGTGAGCGCCCGTTTCAATACAGTGGAGTGTTGGCAGTTGCTTCGCAGGTTGGGTCCCATTGCTTGGATGCTCATAGAGGCTGCCATTGAATAGAAGATGAAATCACTGTTTTGTGGCATTTTACCCTCCTCGTTGCGTTGTCCCGAACTCGCAAAACCGTAGCTACCCATCTAGGCGTGCGCCATTACAGCTTGCTATGGTGTACTTACTTATGTTGAACTTGCAGCTCTCCCGCTTGTTCTGTGTAGCATGTTTGACGAATTTCTGAGCGTGCTCGAACAGTTGATGGTTGATGCAATTCATTTTGTGCTCGGCATTTAGAATGCACCGGTGGGCGTCCTCCACAAAACTTAAAGAAAAAAGACGGGAACACTTTCATTTTGGCAGTTTACGCGCACTTTCAAAACAAGTCACCCACCATGGAAAAAAAAAACTGCAAGACAGTTCGATTCATTCATTCTAAATGCCCTATTCCGCCGCAAATTTTTGAATGATCCTATCCGTCGTATAAACCATTTAGGAACGCCTAGAGAAAGTCTCAGCACTAAATAGGAAATTCACCTCGCGTCATACGCTCGTTTCTCTCGGCTAGGGTGCGCGAGCGCATTCGCAAGACTAAAATCCCTTACGTAAGACGCGACCATGCATTCATCGAGCATAAAGCGCGACTGCAGCGTATGATCATGCACGAGCCACGATCGTTTACAAGCGTGAGTCACCATCTGCCCACACGTGGTGACAGAGCGTTTGAAAGACCTAAAGAAATGTTTTAAAAAAAATGCAGCTCGCGCCTTTAGTGTTTTATCAAAACGATAAAAATGTTTTTCTTTCGTTTTTTTTTTTGTTATTGTTATTTTCTTTCACAAATTTATATCCCCAATTAAATTCGGTCAATTTAGCGTCAGCGAGCAAACTGAAAAAGCGTAATGACGCACAATGGAAACGCGACAGATAAATATTCGATTTTGCTCACAAGAGGCGCTGCCGAAACTAGAAAGCTACACGCCTACTAGGGTACCTTGCCTTGCTCCAACTGCAACGTAACTACTATTAAGAGCGAGCTTCGGGCTTCCAGCGTTTCTGGTAAGCACGCGCGCTCGTGCAGTGCAAGCTTCGTTCAGGACAACATACCCGTGCTTGAAGTTCTAGCTTCGCTCACACATCAAGTGAAATAAAAACTTCAATGATGCTTAAGCTTCGAGGGCTGTGGAAGCAGGGAAGGCTCAAGGCGTCTTGGACTAAGGACTCCTCCCCATCGCTTTCGCATAATAAATATGTTTATTCTCTCTCTCGCCTTTCAGAGTGGAACGCGATAGCATTATCGGGCCCCGTTCGCATCGCCTTCTCATTCGCTTCTCGTGCTCTTCCTGCCAGTGAGCAGAAAGTGCGGCGGACATGGCCTAGTTTGTATTCCCTGGTCAAGACAGATAATAGAAAATTTTAAAAAGCGGACATAGCCTAGTCAGTAGCCTGTCTGGCACGCAACCGAAGGGTCGTGGGTTCAAATCCCGTCTTAATTCTTCAACATTTGTTTTAAGGCAAATGACTTACTTTATAAAATAAAATTATCTGATACATGCGGCGACCTTCAATTCGCATTACATGTCATGTTTTTAATCACTTTCACTTTACGCGTAACGCCACGTTTTACGGGAGCGTTGTGGGTTGTTTGAAATTTCCGCGCGAGGTAATGCGGTTGTGATGTCATGGCCCTACCGACCAATCAAGATTTTCCCGTCAAAACGCCACCGATGCCGGCTTTTCTGCGAAACGAGCGCCTTAACGCTATCGCGTTAATAGATTGATCTTGCCAGCTAGTTTCGTTATGCCACCGCTGCCGGCATGCATCGTGGGAACTGTAGTCTTTCTGCACGCGCGACGACCTCCCTGCTATGCCACTGCGGGTCTACGCGAGCGGAGCACGAGACGGCAGGACTTCACTTGTTCACTGGCACATGCCTTCTGTCATAGCCTCCTCTATACTGACAAAGCCTAGCAGATCGCCACCAGACGCGGCCGCCGAAATCGAAAAGGTAGAGCGACAGACAACAAATGAGAGGAGAGCCACCTGACGGGCGCCCCGCTGCGGTGAGACGCCGAAACACACTTCTCCCGAGTGATGGAATGTCCGCTCGTGCTCCTCGCGTTCCTCGCACTACCGCTTCTTTTCTCGTCGGGTTTGAAAACCATATTTCGGGTCCTCGCCGCTGTAAAAGCTGTGCGCTGACGACCAGGTTCCCCGAGAAATGCACTCTGCTACCAGATCCTCGCGCCCCAAATCTGCGACCGGGCACTTTCTGGCTCCGCCGTCGAACTGCCAGGCTCTGTAAGTGTAGAGAAGGCTATGCTACTGTCGACTGAGGTGATGGCGTCGTCACGCATGCATGGAACACTTATGCTGGATTCACACTGGCGTTCGAATCGCGACCGCGAAGCGGATCTACTCACTTTCTTCATCAAATTCGCGTGAATTTGGACTGTTTGCTTTCAGCAACCGCTTTGCGAATGCGGTTCAGCGGTGATGGCGCGTTCACACCGGAAGCGGATCCGCATCCGCAAAGCGGATCCGCGCGTTCTCAACCGCAAAGCGGCTATAATCGAGCGGTTGGGGCGCGTTTTTGCCAACCGCTTTCTCCCAACCGCTTTCGTGAACCGTGAAGTGGCAACCAATCGCAACGCGGCGCTGACGTGACGTCAGTGGCTTTTGAAACAAGATGGCATCTGTCGCTGGTGAGGCGTCCAAGGCACTGTAGTCCTAGCGTTGAAGCAGACAAATCAACGAAGAAACGTGATGTTCACGTTTTTTACCTGAATCCGTCGCGAAAAGAATGGACCCGTAATCTTAGAGGGCTTCGTTCCGGACATTTGGTTCGGGTAAGAGTTTGATTATTATTCGGGGTGCCAAAGCCCCTCGCTCTCTGCCTTGTTCTTCGCCCGTAGAAGATCGGAAACCACTAAGATAGCCGCGTGAACTACTGGAAGCTTTCGACACCGTGCATGACCACCATAAAGGCCGATAGAGACGTCGTGAGCCCTATTGCGTAGCTTACACACTACCACGGAGCTGGCAGGGTACCTGCGCTAGCTCGACCTGTAACGGTTATTGCTACCAAAAGGAATAAAGGGAGCATACACAAGAAATGAAGTGTACGTACCAGACGATGATAGATAATCCATACAGCGTTTATTTGAGCTTAATGTCAAACAAAAAGTTAACTCGATCGACGTGCCTGTGACGACAGGAGAGTCCCCCACCAACGAAGCCACGAGCGGCTAGCACCGAACACATTCCGCCGTACCAGGGCCAACCAGTGCCGCTCAGAACTCCGAAAATGATAACAGCGAACAACGCGGGGGGAAAACGGAGGCCAGGTTCAGGAAACGATCTTGTGCCACAAATGTGCGTACGATAAAATGTAAGAACAAATTGCACGAAACGAAATTATCGTAACTTTTGTGCAGGTTATAATGGAATCCTACGACAGTTCCGGAGCTGTCTTACGCACAGTGCTACCAGTTCAGCTATTTTGTAGCTAGATTTGGCTACTTTTGGAGTATACTAGCTACCAAAAACTCTCTTCAAGAACGAGTAACTAAGCTGGTTTTTCTTATGGCATCTAGCTCCAAATTTAGCTATTTTCACGGATTTTAGCTCGTATCGAACGAATTGCGTTCGAGGTTGCCAACGTGGTGTCGCCGCATTTGGAAATCTTCCAAAACTTCCAATTTCGAACTAAACTCGGTTCCCCTCTTTCTCCCCAACTTCTTTAACTAGATGATCGGGCCGCAGAAGCCTTTACCCGCGGCGGCTTATCTTCGCAATAGTAGTTCAGAGAGCAATCGCTACACGCATAAAAAATAGCACTTCGATAAATTAGTCACTGGCCGGCGAAGTGTCAAAGGAGGCGGAAGGCTCAGTTGATTCAGCTGATGTATAGCTGCTCTCCTTACTGACCTCATCTACCGCTCGAGTCGTAGCCTCCTGCCTCCTCTCCATCGGAGCCACTAATCGACTAATCCGCGTCGTCGTTCGCTTCACGGCACCGAAGTTTGAATATTCAAGACCGGTTCTCCCGTTTTCAACTGGCTCTCTCCATAGGGCTCTAACAACTCTCTGCCCTAGCACCGGTCCTAACCTCCTTTCGATCACTAACGACGCCGAGGTTTGAACAGCAAACAACGGTTCTCAGAGCATGCTGACGCTACTAAGCTTGCGAACCTTTCGGATTCATTTCCTGTAGATCGCACGCGACTGCGCTTGCTCCTTTTGTAGTCGCAGACGGCAGTAAAATAATCGAGATGGCAAGTACAAGCAAAGATTGAGGCACTGCTGGCTCAAGGACGAAGGCTACAAGCCGTGGCTTATGGCACTGTCAGGTGACCCATTCAAGGCATTTTGCAAGTTTTGCAAGTGCGCTATCGGATCAAAGAGAGCTAGCCTCGAAAAGCACGGGACGTCAGCGAAGCACAAGGCGAGAACGCAAAGTAGAGGAACTCAACAGCCAACTCTGCTTGATCTGGCAACACCAGTAAAGCCGTCCCCTCTAAAGCAGGAAGAGTATACGCTCGCTCTGTATGTCTCCGAACATTTCGTGTTAAACTCTGTGGACCATTCGGGAGAAGCTTGTAGCGTAATGTTTGAGGACAGTTAGACCGCTTCCAACATTAAAATGCATCGAACAAAATGCACCAATGTGGTGAAGAACGTTCTTGGGCCGCACTTTGAGGCACTCTTGCGTGAAGACGTCGGCGATCAGAAGTACAGTTTCCTGATCGACGAATCAACCGACATAGCGTTATTAATGTGCTGGGAATTCTGATTAGGTACTTTTTCCTCTCAAGCTTCGAGATCGTGTCCACATTGCTGGCCCTGCAAGAGCTACAGCAGTGCAATGCTGAAGCCATTGCATCGGCACTCCTCGATGGCTTGCGAGCCAAAGGTTCAAAACCTGAAAACCTTGTAAGCGTTGGTGTTGACAACGCCAGTGTGATGACGGGCGTTATTAGCTGCGTCTACACCAGGCTACGACAGGACCTCTCTCACCTCGTGATGGTGCAGTGCGTCTGCCACTCGGTGCAGCTTGCTCTATCTCTCCCCTCGTCGTGCCTGCTCCGGAATGTGGAATTCCTTGTGTGAGAAACCTACCCGTGGTTCTCACACTCCGCAGCAGGAAAGCTGGAGTACCGGAACCTGTACCGTGAAATGAATGACGGCGAGACCCCGCTAAGAATACCTCAAGCTTGTGACACCCGTTGGTTATCCATCTACGCTGCAGTCAATAGGATAGGTTCTCAGTGGGACACGCTCAAGGAGACCTTCAGGAAGGCTCAGAAGGACGAGAACTGGTA